GTTAAAAGGATACGATAGATTTAATGAAAGGTTAAAATTCAAAATTGAAATGTTCAACCTGTTGCGACCTCACTGATGCTCAATCGTCCCCGAGGTTTCTATTTTCTACAATGTGAAAATCTAAGGGTCTGTTTTCGGTCCTAATCTTTCTGTTACCAAATGTTTTAGCGTTTCGATTCAATCCTTGCCATCATAATAATGAAGCTGGCTGGAATAAGACAATGCTGATCAGATTTTAAAGCCATAAACAGAACAAAATTAGAAAAAATCCACTAAAACGAAAAGCAAACATGATCAACCATTTCATTGTTTGAAAGAAACAAATAAATAAATGAGGGGCGCAGGCTCTATAATCGGAGGTGCTTTCTACAGTATCAAGGTTTGGCTTAGGTATCTGAATATCTTTACCTATGTTGGCCGGTGAAGGTAAAAAGTTGCCTGGGGTATTTTTTCGCTTAGGTGGAGTCTTTACACTTGAGCCTGGGCTGGGTGGCTGTGTTGGGTGCGGTGACTCTTCTCGCCCTGGCGGATAAGGATTCCAATGTGGAACACATCATCTCGAGGGTGGAATGGAGCACCCTCCTCTTCTTCGCCGCTCTCTTCGTTGTCATGGAGGTTTGTTTCATGCTTCCCGCAGGCGTGTTCAAGGAAATTCTTCCGCCTTCTCAGATGTAATGCGGACGTTTAACTGATATTTCCAGAAGTTTCTCAAAACGATTGTTGAAGCCTATTCATTATAGAGTAATGGAGAAAAGGACAGTTATAAGTGAGCGAAAAAGTGGAAGTGTGTCGCTACAAGGAGGAGCATGAAGCCAAAAGTCAGCAAAACATTGCGAATCATTTTTCAAAGCCGTGCAACTTTTGTTCTCCATTGCAGTATGATGAATTTAAGTGCATTTTCATTTGCTAATTCTAGTTTAAGTTTAAGCTATTTCAGAAATTTTCCGTTTTAAAGTCGCGCTTTTCGATATAGCGCCACCCTCTATACAGCGCCAAAATCGGCGAAGACCAACAGTGGCGGTATATCGAGAGTTGACTGTATATTATTAGCGTGACTAAGGTTGATTTGAAAACGTCAGATCAGTTGTGATTCGATTCTAGTTTTAGCTCAGACTTCGATCTGACTGCGGTTCCATTGTGCTCTGGTCGACTTTCATCACAAAGAAATTCAAACAAGAATTGCAACTAAAGTAAAACTGAATCAGCATTTCTATTGAGCTGTAGTTTTAAAATCAGCTCAGGTGGTGGAATGGAGTCCTCAGAGCAACGATGAACGTACAAATTCACAAGTTTTTGACATAGAATTACATGATTGAAAAAGTTATTCTAAAATCAGTTTCATGTGCCAATATAATGACGAAGGTTTCTACGAGTTCGGATGGACAACGGCAGTACATATTCTTGAATGGTGAATGATGTCCTTTAACTCCCACGTCGTAAGACTCAATGAACGAGAATTCGGCCACGCATTGTCGTCATTCTGCCATACGTTATAGGTTGCAACGGTTGGTGAGAGGTTTGCTTTTGACAGGCGATGAATCGACTCGGGCTTTTGATGTGGTTGGGTGGTCTGGTGGAGTCGTGGATCGGGAGCCTGCCACCGTCCGCCAGGCTCCCCGTCGCCATCATTCTCATCTTGTGGACAAGGCGGTAAAGAAGGCGGTAGTAACTGTTGTAGGGGAATTGCCGATACTACGACGCCTAGCACCACTCCGAGCCCCTGCTCAGGAGCTGAAACCCAGAAGGAGAAGTCGGCGAGTAGACCCGCGACGCCTTCGGCGCCTGTCTCGGAGGTATTTAAGTTTCCTGTGATTTCGTCCTCCCAATCCTCATGTTCCAGCTACGACTTTGTCCTCCCATTCGTTCTTTAAGAGTGAATTTGACGCCAGAACCATACAACAGGATTGTTTAGATAATTTTAAGTGCGTAGGAGGAGAGATAGAATATGAGGTTGTAAGAGGACATAATACATGGTGGTGCAAAAGTAACTTGCCCTGCACACTTGGGAAACGAATGTTAAAAGCATCGGAAACAGGATATAATTTGTTCTGTATTCCACCATTGTTCCAAAGCAAATGCCCGTTAGTCTCTTGTCAAAGGATTAGTGATCATAAGGTCACTCCGTAAACAAAGGGAACAAAATTAATTCGAGTATTTCACAAAAGTGTTTGAGCCAACTTACTTTTGCACCAACCTGTATGTCATTTGAGAAGATTGTCAGATTTGCGAAGTTTTAAGGACATTGATTTTAATGTCCTTAAAACTTCGCAAATGGGTTATGACGAATGAAGAGTTCACAGAATCACAGAATTTGCAAGCATTTTTTTTAAATTGTAGTTAGCTACATCATGAGCTTTGCTGTTTGCATTACTCCAGTATCCCATTACTGGAGTATTGCAGGAGCTTTGACAAAATAAACACACAATAAAATCGTAAAGAGATAAAAGACAGAAGCCAATAATAATATATGATATTATTATTAAATCAATCGGATAATTATTATTAGATATCAGATAATGCTTGGGCGGGCTTTTGATATTTGAAATGATGTTGGAATCTCCCGAAAGGGTGACCGAACCCTTTCTCTTTCGTAACTTACAGTCTCTCTTGTATCTTATTGAAATCAAGACGTTTTTCCTGCAACTCAACGGAAATCAATGTTGTGATTATTAGAAACTAAAAATAAATAAACGGGAATCAGCTGTCGCTTGCGTGGATTTGCTCTGGAATTCCTAGGCATGTTCTAGTTTCGTGTTGTGTTCAACTGAACCGGAACTTTAGATTACACTTGCAACGGCGACGCTTTTCACGGTCATGACACGTGCGTAGCATGGCTATAAGTTTTTATTATACAAATTTCCCACCCAGGCAGCAATTTTTCCCTTTTCCAAGTGTGTTTATCTCTGCACAGTCGGATGTTTCACTCTTGGCTCACGTTCACGAGCCACTCATGCACTCTAGTGTGGTCCAAACATGCACCTGTTCTTTTAACTTCAAATTTTTTATAGTCTTAACCCCTCGTCCTTATACACTTCCAAATAGAAGCTTCTGTGTAATGAATCAGCTGAATCGGAGAATATTCAAAGGTCGCTCAAAGGATATTTAGTTTTCGCCATTTTAGCGCTGGCACCGTGGCGTGGCAACCAGGTTTCCCTCAAGTTTTGTAAGTGTTCCTCATTTGAGGTGGGGTTACCAAGTGGAAATTAATATTGTACTCTAGTTCTCCATGTTCCTGATCCAGTGTTGACTTCTTTCTTGTTTTGAGATCTTTTCAGTGCTGCTAAACAAACTTGGAGAATGTATTGTTTTCGTTCGTTACATTTGGTGAGGATTTGGTGGCAGGGAAGGATCAACTTCACTGCCCTTTCAGCATAATCAGTGACAACCATTAAAACTCTTTATTTTTCTAAAAGTACTCACGTCCTGTTCCATGTCAATCCATGTAGAAGGAGGTTCACGTAAAAACCACTGATCAGCATCGAGTGCAGTAACTCAAGGGACGATTCCAGGGAGAGGGGGAAGACACTTATGTGTACTGTGCGAAAAGCGAGACACACCACCTAATGGCACGACACGGAGGAGAACTTCAACATTTCCCCAAAACTTTTAAGTGCTACTTTAGAACATTAGATCTTCCCAGTCGTTTTTGAGTCATGCATCTAGTGATCAAAATGATACGTACGGTTCTCATCAAAGCTTCAAAGAATTTGCATAAGTTTTCATTGATCTTCAGTTGGATCACACTAGTGCGTGAAGCATCCATGTCCGCCAAGCACGGGTTAAGAGTGCAAAACCTTACTGAGCCACAGCCTCTAAATGTTGATGTTCTCCTCCATGCCACTTGATGGAGGTATGGGTCTCACCTTTCGCAAAAAAACAAGAAAGTACCCTTCCCTCTCTCCCTGGAATCGTCCCTCACAGGAGTGTTTAGTACCTCGCCATATGTCTCTCCTAGTCTCATTATACAGTAGGAATCAGTAAACGTGGACACTTCATACTTTGTTATCCTCTTATTCGAGACAGATTTTTGGAGCCCAAACCATAAAGAAGCTCTTATTCCCTATACGAACCCTTTACCTGAGCATGTTAATCCATCAGAGAGGGGTTTAAGAACATTGATAGTGTCCACAGAATCGACCCACCGTTTCCTCGTCCTAAAGACAGAATGTGGAAATCAGGGATCGAATTCGTGTACACCCTTTAGAAAATATTGGGTTGGAAAGAAAGTCTTGCAACACTTTCTAAAACTATTTATAAAAATT